GATGTGTGCGGACTAGTAGTCCGCACACATCCAAAACCTCTCCAAGTATGCTGGGGTTCAGCAGTGGACTTGGAGTTTTTTTGGATGGGTGCGGACTACTAGTCCGCACACATCCAAAACAACTCCAAGTATGCTTGGACTCAGCAGTGGAATTGGAGTTTTTTTGGATGGGTGCGGACTACTAGTCCGCACACATCCAAAACAGCTCCAAGTCTGCTTTGGCTCAGCAGTGGACTTGGAGTTGTTTTGGATGTATGCGGACTAATTTAGGATTCAGGCGGACTAGTTTTGGATTACTTTAGGGGATAAAATAAACTTTGGAGGCATTTTGGGGCAAAATTGGACTACTTCTTGCTCACTGGGACCAGTACAATATAAAACAGAGACAATATGAGACAGTTCCAAAACAACTCTGCACACACAAGTTAATTTATCTTTTACACTTTTTTGTGCACTGTTTGGTCAGCTTTTGATCAAACAGTGCCATTTTTGTTCCTTTTCACACCTTCAGCAAAAGATATTGGGGATAAAACTAGCAAAGTAATTTTGTAAATGCGTCTCTCTAAAATATTCTCTGTCTCAAAATGTCTCAAATCCTTTCCATCTGAAAATGTAACTGTCTCAAATTATCTGTCTCAAAATGTATCTTTCTCAAATTCTCTCTGTCTCAAAATTAATGTGTTTGAAATTGTCCTTGTCTCAAATTCTTCTCTCTTAAGAGTCTTAACAAAAGTTCCTGTCCCCAAACGTTTCTGGCTCAAATTGGACCTCTCTCAAATTGTCTCTTTCAATCTGTCCAAGATCCGATTATTTTAATAGAAGCAAGTGATGCCACCTCAAACAAATGCAAGTACAGTAGTGCATACGGAATGGGTCACAAAACAGTTGAAGAGCCGTCCCAGTTTTTCCATCTCAAACTAGGTAATTTCTGCACTATGGAGATCCAAAGTAAATGTTGATTAGCTTCTAATAATACCACTGATCCTTTACTCACCTTCATATGGTAGGAAAATATAAGCATATGCGATTTCCTTTCTTGTGCATTTCCCAGGTGGATATCCAGTACCAACAGGAAAGCGGGGAACTGAGCAACTACCAGACCAATGGAGAGTTCCATCTGGAAAGCTTTGTTGCCATGAGGAACGTGATCAACTATTCCTGCTGCGTGGAGCCTTATCCAGACATCACTTACGAATTCGTGCTTCGCCGCAGGCCACTCTTCTACGTCTTCAACCTCATCCTGCCCTGTGTGCTCATCACTTGCATAGGTGAGAAATATTAGTGTGCATCAGTAGGCCAGGGAAAAGTGTTATTGTAGCTCTATATACAGCATGATTTTCTCGTCAAAGATTATTTCTAAATTGTTTTATCAAATGGGAATTATCTGATGGGAACTGGCTGAACCCTTTGCGCTTTAAATTGTGCTCAAGAATTTTCTTTTTTTTTAAAGAGCCAGTCACGTATTCATGCATTTTCCTGTATGTGCTGTAATTCACTGTATTTAGTATCATGGTTGCTCAAGTGAGGCTCACATGACGTTTTTTGGACCAAGAATTTGGCCAAAAACCTTACCCATGTAAGACCTGTACCTCAGTTTTTTTTTTTGGGTGAAGAAAAATATTTGCCAAATACAGTCAACCCCCGTCTAACGGACTTGATTTGTGCAAGGGACAAGTCTGTTAGACAAAAAGTCCTTTACACGAATTCAATTACATAAAAAATTGAAAATTTCAATTTTCAACACTAATTTCAAACCAAAAGAAGTCTGTTTGGCGGATTTTGTCTGTTGGGCAGGAGGAAAAACTGCTTGCAAAGCTGGTCTGTTTGGAAAAAATCCCTTACATGGGAGGTCTGTTAGGCGGGGGGCCACTGTAATTCTTTGCAACAGGAAACCCTTATTGACTTAATCACAGAGCCTGGAGAATAACATCACAAATGCAGCCCAAAAAATTTGATTAAATTTCTTCTCCTATGAGTCCAACTTCTGACGCACCAAGATAATTTCATGATTCTTACCCCTTTTTTTTTTTAGAAATTCACACCCACATTCCAAGCTGGAAACATAAATTTTTTATATTTATCTTCCAGAAAAAAATTATGTGTGGCACTCAAATAAATATGGTATTTTCCTTTGAAAATGTGTGGGGCAAAAATATTTTTAAACTTGTGCATGCTGAAAAGCAGCAATTACTGTACAGCTTATTAGCAAATAAAGCAGCTTAGTAAATCTCATGTTTCTCCAAGGGAAACTAATTCCCTGAAAAAAGCAGGAAAAACCTCTGTATAACTCAAAAAAGCTTTTCCTCTTGAACCTCAATATAACTCTATTTTTTAGGCCTTTATTTTATTTTTTTGGTGTAGGGAAGAGAAAAGTAACTTGGTGTGTTTTGAAGTGAAGTGAAAGACTAATTGGGCAAATTAACCCCTGCCTCCAAGTTCAGCATCCTGTTGACTCATTTTGCAAAGCAATTTCAGATCCAGAATATCACTACTTACAATTTCCATCAATTCGTATACGTTTCCCACAGCAAAAAAAAAAATGCTTGTTTCCCTAACCCAAAACCTCCCCAACTCAAAACCTCCCTCATTCAAAAACTTTTGGTGTTCCCTTGATTGGAGAGGTTCGACTTATAGTTTTCGTCTCAGTCTGAGCTTTCTCTTATTTGCGACGAGCGGCACTTGTTATTTCCTCTCGATCAGCAGTAATTGACTATTTGTGACCTTCCATTATTGACTTCGTCTAAATGACTGCTTGTTCCGTGTCGTGTTTCAGCATTGCTGGTGTTCTACGTGCCACCGGAGAGCGGAGAGAAGGTGACGTTAGGGATAAGTGCTTTGTTGTCAATGACGGTGTTCTTGATGACGATCCGAGAGAGCTTGCCTCCGACAGAGAAAACACCTCTCATCAGTGAGTATTATTCCGCATCTATTCTCCGTTAACACTCGTATATACATACGTGAGAAGGATAACGATGATGTTAACCTCGCCTTGTTTTTCGTTTTCTTTTCTCCGGTTTTTTATTTATTTTTTTTTTTGAGTGGTGGGAATAATGGAGTTCCACCTGAAAGCCATGCTGCACTTCTCGCGTGTCGAGAGACGTGATGGCAAAATGTGCGTTATTGTGCTTCTTGCGAAGAGCATGGATGATGATCGCTGTCGGAAATCCGAATGTGTTTTTCCTGGTATTTTTTGCAAAGGGACCGATTCACGAGAAATCATAGCTATATACCTTCTGACAATTTCAAAAGTTGTTCATTTCGGGAATCGCAGATTATTTCTGGAATCGCAGGAAAAAGCGCCGATTCCGAGAGAACTCGAAAAAGTTCACTGACGAAGTTCTGTGCAAATTATGTCCCTTATTTGGAAAATAATCGTGAAAGCAAAAGTGTCACTTTCCGAGATTCCTCAAGCGGAAGAGAATAATTTGGAAATGAATGGATTAATCTTTGCCATTTTTTTCAGGAAAAAATATCGATTTTTTCAGCTTTGAATTTTTCTCGTTTTACAAACGAAGGCAAAAGATATGTTTCGCCACTTATAATCTTGAACATTTTTTATTTTGAGAAAGTCAAGAGCTAAAAAGTGTCTGGGTTGCTTACATTTATTTCCGTTCAGTTTTAAATTGAAAATTTCTGGTAATAACTTGCTAAAACGTGCGAAATTTAAATTTTTCACCACTATTTTCCTGAATGATTTTCGAAACTTCAAAGTGAATGTTTGTCATCTTAGATAATTTGCATACAGGGCCTCACAGTAATTGACTCGAATTTCCGCTTGCGATCAGTCAATAATGCTCGGAACTGGTACTCGTGGAAACTTCGTCTGATTTATTGTTTTTTCTTTTGATTGTATTCAATTCAGCGAAAACCATGAAATTTGTCATTATTCCAAAGATAATAGAAACCATTCTTCCGTTACGTTTTTCCTGCGTAAAATACCGAAGCATTCAGACGGTGAATTGCATGGATTAAATTTTAAAATGTACCAATATTTTTTCTTTCTGGCCCACGCATTGGAAGATAATAAGCGTATTTTACGAAATATTCTTTAGTGAACGGAATTCTGATCACCTTTTTGAATATTTTATTCACGCGGCAGTAAATTTAGACTTCGATTATTAGCTTTCAAATCGCAAATTTGAAAACTGAATTCGCCTCAGGCCCCCGGGCAATTATTCCGAGTTGAACGACATGCGATGTGTGACCGTTGGAAGCTTCCGCCTGACTGGGATAATAAAGCGGGAAAGACCCCGGTGTTCGGGGCTAATTACATGCAAGCCTCCCCCCTGTGTTAATGATCCTGCTGACTTGATTATGCACGCAGGTGTCATAAACTCAGGCCCAAAAAAAAAAAATAAATACACACACACACTAGGGCTACGATGACACACCCGAGTTACGGGGTCGAAATCGAACCAAGACAAATACTGACGACGTACGTTTTCTTTTCACTGGCTTGTGCAAACCATTCAGTGTGTTTTTCTTTCCACACACACACACACACACACACTAGAGAAAGAAGAAGGAATGTGAGTTGGGAGATGAGAACATGAATTTTGTGAGGCTAGAACAAACCCCCGTGAAGAATTTATTCGTTTTTTTGTGTGTGTGTGTGTGGATCACGTGAGACGTGACGCAAAAATTGAAACGTCATTGCCCATGTTTTGAATTAACGACTTAAGCAGAGAGGCAATGATTTTTTTTCTGGTTGAATATTCACGACTTTTTGGGGACAAAAACATGCAAAACTGCTCTCCTTCTCTTTTTCCCTCGAACTGGAAAACTTTTCCCTCACATGTACACGAGAAACGACCAGCTCTGTATGCACTGATCTTTTAAAGCGTTTTAGTTTTTGGGCTCCCATAAATAAGTAAAAAAAGCGGAACAGTTGGTAAATCAAAGTTTTATCCGGAAAAAAAGCTCCTCAACCTTCTTAAAGAAGACGTGATGAGACGTTTATGATTTGTCATGTTGCAGAAATGCATTGATTCGTTGTTCCCAGGGTTAATTGGAAGTTTATTAGGTCATATGGACTGCGTGGAAGCAGTGGGAGAAAAAGAATAACAAACGTGCTCTCACGTCGTCACCGTCGACTGTGTCGTCATGGATTTGTGCATTAGTCCTCGTCTCTAGTGACGTGACGTGACGAGGAATCCATGGTGCTTCCAACAAGAGAGATTTTGTGGGGGAGGCTTAATGGAGACGTGGGGCACGTCATAAATTACGGCATTTCCTATTAAAAAAAACAATTCATGTGAGTAAAAGAAAAAGAGGAAACAATTTTACACCACCCACATGATCCTATAAAAGTCCGAACAAGGGTGCTTATTTGCTTTCCTCTCAACTGGCCTTTGCCTTTTTCGGTGTGGGAAACAGCATGCTGTCCCAAGAAATGGGGCACACACAAACGATAAATAAGGTAACTCCAATACAAAACCTTGTTTTGAAAAATAAATTTGAAAAATTTCACTGATTTTCGCGTTTCTTAAAGAAAATAATTTTTTGCTGGGAACAGACCAACTCAAGAGTCGTGATTTTTTGAAATGCGTTGAAATAACTTTAAAGGATATGAATCCGTTTCAGCAATAAAATTCCATGTGCTTTTGAATACAGAAGGCAGAAAGTTTGTTGTTGCAAATGGTACAGGTGTATTTTTTTCTCGCAAATTATCTGTACAATATTTGATTTTTTCGTAAAATGGGCAGCAATTAACTACGATGAGCTCCAAGCGAGTATAGTTAATAGGAAACTTCGTGCCGCTAATTTTATTAAAAAAGGACCTTGAAGAATTTTGCAAGAGTTTCAATATTTAGGACAAGGTTGTCAGTAAAGGCACACAATTTTTAAATCGGATGCTTGGGTTTGGAAAACACTTTCCATTATTATTTTCCATGCCGATGTTATTTCTGTTTTATCATGTGTGTTTGAAGTCTGTAAGTACCGTATATATATTTTTTCTTTCACATGCAACCGTTAACAAATACGGAATCACCTGACGTATGTTCAGTATATCGCAAGTGGAACATGAAAAGCTAGATAGATTAAACAAGTCTACACCAGTCGCAGTTCTCGGTTAAAAAGTACTGTGACGCCAACCCTATTAGCTATTTTCTCGCTGCTTGGGGTGTTGGTTGTGGATATAGTCCCTCCTTTTTTGGGCACTTGGGGGCCGGGACTCTGTGTGTGGGTTGTCGATGAACATCCCGTAATTATGTCAATTCTTTCCGCTTCTGACTCACCTTTTTTTTGGGTCTTCGTGAAGTTTGAGTGAAGTTTATGGGGTTCTGGGTGGACTCATTATTTTTCGTAAATAGTATGCTGTACTTGGAAAATTTTGGAAAATATTTTTAAAGAACATCGATGACGGCTAGTGTGGAAAAGTTTTCGTTTCATTTTTAAAATTGTTCATACTACGGTTACTTACATTGCTAAAAATTTACCCATGACTGCTGAAATTTGCAGAAGAAGGGAGTAAAGTTTGTTGAAACTGTCGTGTCTGAAAAAGGTAAATACTTTGTGGAGAATTAATTTAGGCCGAAGAAATATCCGCTCCACGAGTTTTGAAATGATTAAATAAATGTTAAGTTCACGTTTAATGGTTTTTCTTGTCATTCAGATGTGATCGATTTTAAGGGATCATGGAAGTAATGTAAACCAATCATTCGCATGATCTCCTTAAAATCTCTCGTATCCGAAGAAAAACTGGTCACTGAAGAATGTTTCAATTTTAAACGGATGTTAATTACTAAATTTCTTCGATGGACATGAGTGAGTCAACATTTAAAACGCTGTTTCTTAAAAAAATGATGAAACGCAAAGGAAGAAGTTTATCGGTGTTAATATAACTTTTTTCCCTCAACATTTTTTATTTCAAATTTTATTTGTAATCATTTGCAAATGTAAAACTTCGGAACGTTCCAAGATCATTTCCGAATGTACTGCGCGTCGCTGAAAAAAAAAATTGAGGCTCGTTTGAAAGTACCGTACCATGTTTGGGTGCAGTCATAGAAAGCCTAACAAACCTAAAACGCTGACCTAAAGAAGTAAGAAAATAAATAAATAAATAAATAAATAAATAAAAATAAACTACTCCTTGCCTACCTGGAACACTCTTGTAGATTGGAAGTCGTGATGGGAAGTCCAGTGCGGGTGAAAAGAGCGTCGAACTCTTGCTCCGTTGTCCTGCTTTGATGCTTCCATTTCCTTTTTATTTTTGCCTTTTTTTATGTCCTACTGTCGCCCCCCCCCCCCCTTTCCCCGGTTTTCTTATTCCGTTTCTTTTTGTTGATCTTTTTTTTTCTTGTCCTCGTGGTGGGTTCTTGAATGGAAACGTTGTCGTTCTGGGCGCTCTTTTGCAAGTGGAGATCTCCAAGGCCAAACAATGCGACACTCTCTTATTTAGGGCCCAAGGGGGGAACTTGTCCAACTTACTTCTAAAAGGGCTCTAAAAACACTTGGGGAGGAAAAAAGAACCGTGTTTTAATGAGTGTCCTTTCAGCGTTTGGAAGATGTGTATATTGTATACATTTTTTTCTCTTCATTTGATGGGATCCTATTTGAAGTCGTCCAAGCGTGGCTTGCGGTTTTAAAAATTGAGCAGGAATGAATGACTTTTTTTTTGAATTCAAGTGTCCCATTTTTCCGAACCCCTGGTGAAGAAGACTTCGGCTGACAGGAGAAAATATGTGGCGTTCTTAATTTTGACAGTTGTCAAGATTGGCCATCAATCCGAGTCTTTGACATGAAATAACATTAGTGAAGTGTTGTCAGTGTCTGGAATTCGGAATATTCCTTCAACCCACTGAAAGGTCACGGTAATAATGAATCAAGTCTCGGTTAATTACTTAATTTGGCTTCTGATTTTCTTATTACCAATCCGGAAAATCACAAATTTTTCTTTTTAATAAAATTTGATTTCCGACCTATGACATCGTCGTTAGGAAGGTGTTTGATAATTTTTCCTCTTGAAAATTATTTTCTGAAAGTAATGGGACACAGTTTCACATCTCGGGCCTTGATGAGCTTGGGTTGGAACAAGGGTTTGAAATTATGAAACACTACTCTGTTCTGACCGAAATTTGAAAACAATTGTAATTTTTCGTGCAAATTCTGATTCTTGAAATCATCAGGAGTTTCAGCGCGTTCAAATGTGAGTTCGCAGCACTTAGATTCTGATCGTCGTTGAAGCTTTCCAGTCTTAGAAAGTCATTTTGACGCACTGCCTGAGGTTTTGTTTTTGATTCTTGCCGTAGACCCAAATAATTTCCGTCCCGGATTTTTATACCGCAAATAGAAATGAACTCCGGGGGGAAATGCAGTCATGAATAAAACAATGATGGACAGATTTTCTGAATCTTTCAACGGTCCCAGATTTTGAAGGAACGGAAAAAAATACAATAGGGTCACCGGGAGAAGAAGAACAAAATTTATGTCGCAACCTTCCGCACACAAGAGCTTCGGATAAGGAGCAAAAAAAAAATGTATTCCTTCTCTCGGAATATTATTCGTGAAAGAAAGAATAGTAAATCTTGAGCCCAGAGCAGCTCGTTTCGACACCGGAATTCGAACTTCTTATTTTTTTTTTTTTCGTCCCGCCTGGAACCTCGTGCATAAAATTCCTTTTTGTGGACGGTACTGTTTTATTGTCTCCCCCCTCGTCTGTATGAATAAAACAACACCGCGTTGTTTTCGTGACCGGATGTTAGAAAAACGGCAGAAATGATTTCTTTTTTTTATATATACTGTATTTAGACAATGGCTTTTTGAAGAATCCGCTCCAGTTTTTGATCGCAATCTGGCAAGTTTTCTTGAGCGACTTCTGAAACCTTCGCAGCATGATTTGATTGAGAATTTATACTTTATTCGCTGTATCAGCTGGTTTTTATCTTTTCTTTATTTATTTCTGGGGTTGCTAATTAATTGACATTTGATGGCCAACCACTTTCTGTGGCACCAAGGCTAGAATTCTCGAGATCGAAATAATTTAAAAACCAATTAAACCATGTTCCTTCAATCTGGGTCAATGTTACTAAAGTTGTTCAAAGATGTGGAATATTTAGCATCATCTCGACTGTTGTTTTTTTCTGTTTAAATCACGCAAATGTGTCCGATTGATACTATTTTCGTCGAAACCTTCGAATATGAATGTAAATCTCCGTATTCTATCCACGTGAGCCTGGAAATGATCCCGTTAAAAAAAATCAAGAAATGAATAAGTCAAACCAAAGGACGGAAGTCATAGATTTCTCCCATCATATAACATAATACGGTAGAAAATCGTTACAACAAATTATCGTTTACAACGAATTCGTTTTTTGGGTCCCTGTCCAGTAGCCACAATGTTAAATGAGTTATCGTACTTATTTAACGTATTTTTCGTCACAGGGAATTTGTTTTACTGGTCCAAACTGCTGATTGCTTCTTTGTAACGAGATTTCACTATATATATTTTTTTATGTGCGAGTTTAATTTGCCTATTTGGATGCAAATATCGTGGTTTTGCATTTCGTGCTTGTAAGAGATACCGATTCCCGACTTGGACGACTTCATAAGTCTCGAAAACGAAAATGTTCGGTCGTTCCAAAGGCGCCTTTTGCATGGTGGTATTCATGCTGAAGGGTATAGACCACAAAATATGGCGATGACGTCGTAATCCCTGACAAGTTGATTGATCATTCAGCAATTACGTATCGTCCTTCTTTGAAGGTCTATAATTGTGGACCGAGTCTAGGTTTTCTTTTCCGCCTGGAGGTGCTTCTATCCGGTTCTCGCGTAGCCATAAAACAAGGGCCATATTTCTCCGAGATAATATGTTCCATCTGCAGTCGGTTGATAGCAACTGCCATTGTGAAGAGAGAGAGAGGAAAACAAAAATTACTGGAAGAAGTTGTTTCCGAATCTTTAGGAAGATGAAGACGGAAGACGAGGCCACGATGTTTTTCACGAGACTGGCGTGAATATTTTTTAATGGGTGTTGGGATAGAAGGAAGGAAGATGATGAGTGCAGAAAGCGGATCAACGCCAGGGTCGGGTCAGTGGGCCAGCCACGTTTTTCTTACCTGGCCCTGTGGTTTTTCTGGAGGAAGGAATGTTCTTTCCCTTCGTCTTCCAGTTGCGGGTCATTTGCTGGAATTTTATATTTTTATTTTTTGGTAACCTGTCTCGAAGAGTAAATTGACCTATTGCTGCAGCCTGGGTTTATTTTTTCTTTCGGTAGCCACCTGTCAACTGTGTGTTGTCGAGGTTGAGCAGTTTCTTTTTCTTTAATTGAAGGTATTTTCTGTGCGTTGAGGTGGAAACTTTTCCCAAGTTGGTCGCCATGTTGCCTTGATACCAGGGCTCTGTGCAACTAACTCTTCTAAAGCGCCAATTCTTCTCTGTAGTAATTTCTGTCGCACGATCACTGATGTTAAATCAGTATAGGTTGATGTTGAAGACTCATCCAGAGACACTTTCATGCATGGGTCCATTTTAAAAAACGTGAGGGCTCTGTGCATATCTGCTTTATTTCTTCAGCGAAAATACGTAATAAACGTCGACTTTCTCTACAATGAAATTCAAAGGATCAGAAAATAATTCATTTTAGAGAACCCCTATAACCTGGGGATAGAACCTTTTGCCTCTGGGGGAAAAATCGTTTGTAAAGAGAGTCAACCTGTATTTCCATGAAGCTGGTCTGGGTCCACAGAAAATCCGTCCATGCACAAAAAAAGTAAAAATAATGTAAGAAAAAATCAGTTTGAATTGTGATTCATCGAGAGATTTTCTCGCAAATCCCATGAGTCACCAGAAATATATATTTTTTTCAGCACAGGCAGAGGAAAAATTTATTGATAGATGTGTGAAAATAAGTAATTCTATTTCGAACGGGGGAAATAATGTAAAATTATTACTTGAAGTTCACGTATTATTTCTATTAATCCTGGCTCTCTGAGACCTCGTAGCTAAATATTTCAAGGAATATTGCAGAATTTTTTTTTTTAGAAAAAATTGAGAACAACATCACTTTCTTTAATGTCTATGGCTACAATTTGAAGCGATGCGAAAGCAATTTTTTTTGCCGTGGGCAAATCACACAATGGACGCCCTGATATCGCAGATACTGTCTCTATCCTATGGATAGATTCAGCTTCATTGTCTTGAAAGTTGATGGCAGAAAATCCACATCGAAATGGTAGACTTCTTCTCAATTTCGTTTTGTGTGTGTGGGATGCTGTGGAAAATCGTCTGTTTCCTCTGATGAATATTTATACATGTTGCGGAAAGTCAGATTCGTTGCCGAGCCTTTATTTTCATGACGCGTTTTCAAGGTCGGTTTTTGCCTTTGGGAATTTTCTGCATCCGCAAATAAAAGGCATGGGAAGATTTCTTGCCAAGGTTCGCGGTGTTTGAAACGGGATGAAGGGTACTCACGGTTTTTCCAGGAAGAAACCTTGAGAAAAGTGGAAAGAAACGTGACGAGCGAAAACACGCGTTGAATTAATATTGAAAGAAAAAAAGGTGTAACACACTGTTCTACTGTTATTCATCCTGTCAGTGGTTATGACGGGGTTTTTCATAAAAGAAAGAATCAGTTTGAATTGTGATTCATTGAGGGATTTTCTCACAAATCCCACGAGTCACCAGAAATAAATATTTTTTTTTTCAGCACAGGCGGAAGAAAAATATATTGATTAATGTGTGAAAATAAGTGTGATTTTATTTAGAACGGGGGAAATAAGGTAAAATTATTATTTGAAGTGCACGTGTTTTAAGTTAGCCAGTTTTGAATTTCACGACTTGATCGAAAATTAGGCAATCTTATAGTTCCGGTATGGTTTTTTGCAGAAATTTCTAGCCATTTTCTCCGTGATCATGTAGGTAATTTTTTTGCGAATCTTCCCGTAATAAATTGTTGTGAATAATTTGCTAAGCTTCCTGCTTTCATTCTTGAGATGTAACATGATCATTCCTTTCATGTTCAGGCAGTTCTTCATTATTGAAAGAATCCCCGAAATAATTTAAGAAAAATATTGGCACGAAAAGAATAATTTCGAAATTTTCTTTCCTTCTCGTGCTGAAATTGGGTGAATTTTTTGAATAAACCAACAATACGGCGCTAAAAAAATAGGAACATGAGATTTTTCATTAAACTACAGGTATATTGAGGAACTTTTGAGAAACCCCGAAATCCTCGTAAGTTTCCGTTTCTCATCGGGTTG